CCCGTCCAGCCCCGAGCCTTCACCGCTGGTTCCGTCCAGCCCCGGGCCTTCACCGCTGGTCCCGTCCAGTCCCGAGCCTACACCGCTGGTCCCGTCCAGTCCCGAGCCTACACCACTGGTCCCGTCCAGCCCCGAGCCTTCACCGCTGGTCCCGTCCAGCCCCGAGCCTTCACCGCTGGTCCAGCCCAGCCCGGAGCCAGCGTCTCCGCCACGGCCACCCAAAGGGCGGGACGACAGCGGTAATGGCCGTGGCCACCCGAAGGGGGGTCTCCTGGTTAACCTGAGACATTTTCATTTAAACCATCATTTTGTTTGAGAATGACATTTCACTGTTTAAAGTTTGTTGTATCAGCATTGAAATTTTACTGCAGCTTTCTTAAAGATTTTTTACCTTAAAATAATGTTTCCAAAATCGTTTCAGTGGTTCATCAAGTCGTAACAGGGTGAAAGGCACTTATGCCTCCGCTTTGCAGTCCTTTGTCTGGTATAACCACACTATGCAAGTTTGCCAGACCGGGTCGCGTTTCTGTAGTTCGAATGAGACATAAGAAAACTACAAATTTGACTTGCTTTGCGTCAAGCTTTACAATAGTCATTATTTAGTTTTTCTTCGTTTCTGATGTCGCAATACATCATACTTTCATAAAATCATGCATCATACTCTACCTTGTCTGTGGATATTGTTCATTTCAAAGCCGGTGCTGGATAAACAGCGAGCGTACCTGCGACAGTAGGCTGCGGTAGGCTAAATTATTTACAACAGCGGTAATGGACAATTCCGCTTCCAACCAGTAGGGCAACTGCAGAGGAAAAGTTCCTTAGTGTTGCTTTAAGGTCTTTATCACTTTATTAAAATTAAGCAAAAGAGACGGACAAATGTTTACTTTTAAGAGCGGTCACATATTTCGACCGATCTTCTGGGATTTGAACGATTCGATTATCTCAAGTCTGCATTCGATGCATCATTGATATCAAGAACACATCCGGGTACTTTCATGCGTCCTCTGTACTTGCGTTCTTGAGTATTGGAATTGAACTTCGACGTTTGATGATGACGTAGTACGAGAACACAAGGACGCAAGATCGCTGAAGAACGCATAATGAGAAACTGTCTTGTTTGTTACCAAAGTGATTAATCATTTTCAGGTGTACCTTGTTAACTTCTTGCTATCCTGTGTATATTCCCCTGTGCTTTAGTCTTGGTTTGTTGGTTGTTGTCTTTACAAGTTGTGTGAAGCTGTTATGCTCCTGCACTTTGGATTATGTTCCTGTTTTTGCTCATGTTCCTGTTTTTGACCCTTTGTTTGGATTATCTTTGTTTTTGTTTTCAATAAATACTGCTACAACTGGATTCTCATTTCTCCGCTTCGTCTCTGCCACTACGTAACAGCAACCTAACTGAGATTCTGCGTTAGGGTATGTAAGAGTTATTAAAGGGATTGTGCACACAGAAAAAATAATAATTCTATCATCATTTACTGATGCTCAAGTTCAAACCTGTAGGAATTTCTGCTGCAGAGCACTACAGAAGAAAAGCTGTTCTTTCCATACAATGAAAGTGAAAGGGGTCCAAAAACAACACTGAACCCCAGTGTCTTTCATTGTATTGACCAGAAATCCATCAGAATATTTGTTTTTAGATGTATGCATTTCTTTAATGGAAAATAAATGAATATATGTTGGGAACAACATATGGGTAGGTAAATATAAGTTTTGAGTAAACTGTCCCTTTAACTCAAGAGCTGAACGATTCAAATGAGTGTCTTACTACAAATGTGCAGTAATCCACAAAACAACAAACCAGTTTAACAAATTGAAAGTAACCGAACTGATCAAAAGATTCCTTTGCGAACTGGATATCGCTATGACTGATCATAAAATATTGCTTTCTGTTATTTTTTTGCTCTTTGCAGCTGCAAATGTAACAAAAGTGTTTGGACAAATGTATTGGAGTAAAAGTATAATTTTTTCTTTAATATGTAGCAAAAGTAGAACTCGAGTAAAGTACAAATATACAAAAACTGTACTTGACAGAATTTTCATTTTGAAGTGAACTATTCTTTTATTTACTCACCCTCAAGTTGTTTCAAACCTGTATAAATTTCTTTATTTCAACTGTCTGGTTACCGACATTCTTCAAAATAACATCTTTTGTGTTCAGCAGAAGAAAGAAATTCATACAGCTTTGTACTTAAAATTGTACTTCATTATTATACACCACTGCCATATTCAAACCACGATGGGCATATTCAACCACTTTACCTGATTTTCTTTTCTAATTCACTGGGGGTATGGTTTTGTGGTGGATCTTCGGGTAAAGCAGTTGAAAAACACATTGTAGTTTGAAAATGCCCACTGATAAAAACACCTGTAATGGTTGCATGTACACTTCTCAGCAGTGCTGAAGCTGGGTTATCCTGCATGGGCCACGGTGCAGGTTGTTTCTGTAGGCCTCCTTGAAATCACGTTTCGGGGGTGGGTGGGTTTTCCCCTTGAATGAAATCGTGTTCATCACCACAATTCTCAGTAATTGATGCTTCCTCAGAGAGAAAACATAGGTGCATCCTATACAAAAGTCTTGTTTGTTGAACCACCTGACATATTCACACAACTTCTCTGGCACAATTTCAAACAACGGTGCTGTCACAAAACGAAGACAAAGATAGACGGAATCCAATATGAAGTGATTTTTAAATTAACATATTAATATTTCTGAACGTAATTGAATGTATGACTTGCTCTAAATGACATCCTGCTTTCTTTTTCAGATTTCAGAGAACCCAAAGTAAAAAGGCAGTTGTAAGCCAGATTTTTTTAAACTTGAACTAATGACATCAGACTCTTGAAACTGTTTTAGGTTTTTAGTGCTTTTGTCCTTTTTGTCATATTTCTACTTTTTAAGAATGATCTTTTGTATCTTTTTGTCATTGATTGCGTTAAAAAGGTGTACTTTTAAAATATTTTAAAGGTTTTTTCCCCAAACTTTGAAATGGCCTGGAATTTGTTGATTGACCATTGAATGTTGTTTCAACACTAACTTTGGGTACATCAGATGGCAACATTGTTTTATGTTGACAGTACATTTCAGTTGTATTTTCAATGTTTGAACAAACATGATTTAGAATGAACACCACAATGTAACATTGATCCAACAATATTACCAAGGATTCTTTTAGTTCATTTAAATGTTGATTCAACAGCAATGATGTAGAATCAGCATCATAGTGTAACGTTGATCCAATGACATTACCATTGATTTTTTGTTGAAATCTCACTATTGTTTCAACATTAATTGTGGGTGCAAAAGTGATACTGAATCAACATTACTCTATAACATTAATTAAATGCAATTAGCGTTGACACATCAACATTGACTTATTGTTTCAATGGTTGCTTGCTATCTGGGAAGCTTATAATAGTATAATCTATGTAGTTTGTATTATATCATTTCTTTCTTTTAAACGTCTGATGTAATTTCTTGTGTTTATATTTATTTATTCCTGATTGTCCCCCCTTCATGAAGACACTCTTGCCAGCTAGCACTGGAAAACAATAATCTTGTTGTTTAGGGACTTACACCCAATTATGAACGTAAACTGAATTTAAGATAAGACTAAAAGAAAATGGAATTATTTGAGGAATTACAGAGGAAATACACATTCTTGGCAAGTTTTAAGCAGAACACATGCAGTATGATTGTGTGTAACTAAGAATGTACAAAAAATATACACTCACCTAAAGGATTATTAGGAACACCTGTTCAATTTCTCATTAATGCAGTTATCTAATCAACCAATCACATGGCAGTTGCTTCAATGCATTTAGGGGTGTGGTCCTGGTCAAGACAATCTCCTGAACTCCAAACTGAATGTCAGAATGGGAAAGAAAGGTGATTTAAGCAATTTTGAGCGTGGCATGGTTGTTGGTGCCAGACGGGCCGGTCTGAGTATTTCACAATCTGCTCAGTTACTGGGATTTTCACGCACAACCATTTCTAGGGTTTACAAAGAATGGTGTGAAAAGGGAAAAACATCCAGTATGCGGCAGTCCTGTGGGCGAAAATGCCTTTTTGATACTAGAGGTCAGAGGAGAATGGGCCGACTGATTCAAGCTGATAGAAGAGCAACTTTGACTGAAATAACCACTCGTTACAACCGAGGTATGCAGCAAAGCATTTGTGAAGCCACAACACGCACAACCTTGAGGCGGATGGGCTACAACAGCAGAAGACCCCACCGGGTACCACTCATCTCCACTACAAATTGGAAAAAGAGGCTACAATTTGCAAGAGCTCACCAAAATTGGACAGTTGAAGACTGGAAAAATGTTGCCTGGTCTGATGAGTCTCGATTTCTGTTGAGACATTCAGATGGTAGAGTCAGAATTTGGCGTAAACAGAATGAGAACATGGATCCATCATGCCTTGTTACCACTGTGCGGCTGGTGGTGGTGGTGTAATGGTGTGGGGGATGTTTTCTTGGCACACTTTAGGCCCCTTAGTGCCAATTGGGCATTGTTTAAATGCCACGGCCTACCTGAGCATTGTTTCTGACCATGTCCATCCCTTTATGGCCACCATGTACCCATCCTCTGATGGCTACTTCCAGCAGGATAATGCACCATGTCACAAAGCTCGAATCATTTCAAATTGGTTTCTTGAACATGACAATGAGTTCACTGTACTAAAATGGCCCCCACAGTCACCAGATCTCAACCCAATAGAGCATCTTTGGGATGTGGTGGAACGGGAGCTTCGTGCCCTGGATGTGCATCCCACAAATCTCCATCAACTGCAAGATGCTATCCTATCAATATGGGCCAACATTTCTAAAGAATGCTTTCAGCACCTTGTTGAATCAATGCCACGTAGAATTAAGGCAGTTCTGAAGGCGAAAGGGGGTCAAACACAGTATTAGTATGGTGTTCCCAATAATCCTTTAGGTGAGTGTATAACATCTCTAACCAGCTCACGAGACATGTGGATTGTAAAAAATTCTTACCGAATAGTTTTCACAATGAAGTAGATGATAACAGCCAAACCTATACATCCACACAGAGACCCAATCACAATCGCTGTGATTTCACCTGAGACAGAGACAAAATATTACATTTCTCAAGAGAACTGTAATAATTGAGCAATAATTAGCATATATATATATTCTAAGAGAGCTGATTGAAAAGATAAAAACTATTTAACAAATAATACTGAATGTTTAGACCGTAAAATGATTAATATAATAATTGGTATAATATAAAATGTTTCTCACCTGCAGTATAAATTTGAACTGAGACTGGGGAGAGAAACAGTGAAACAAAGAAGAATTAGTCAAAGCAACATTCATATCTTTTCAATGACAAACCGATTCACCCAAAAAAGACCATTCTGTCATCATTTACTCATCCTTATGTTATTCCAAAATGGTGTGCTGTTATTTTGGTGGAACACAAAAGGCAAAAATTTTGAAGAATCATTCAGTTGCTCTTTTCTATGCAATGAAAGTTTATAGTATGTCAGGTTTAAAAAGGAAAATACTCAAGATTCAATATGTAATATAAAAATAGTTTTGTGTGTGAAACAGGCTGAAATTTTTGTTATAAATTCACTTATAATCTTCCCTTTTGCCAAAGCATGTCCATGTCAGATTAAACAATGTCACATAGTAGTTTGACATTGTTGAAACCAAACGGGATAGGTTCCTGCATGTGCTATAGCAGAATGTGGTACTCCAGTACACATATGCAGAATAGTGTCACAGATTGCTGCTGTATAGTATTTCTAACAAAGAGATGCGTGATGCAGAATGAACGAAGGGATACAATGTTTAATAATCACAGAGAGCGGTAGCACACTACACATAACATTAACGCAAGACCTTGAACTGAGGAAAACTGAAGGCTTAAGAAAATTTAAAAATATCAAGAGTGTTGGATGAAGTGGCCGTGGACCTACAGTCAATTAAAAGCAAATCAGCAAATGCATCCTATTGTTTGTCAGCGATAAAGATCTTTATTAACATCTGCATATGCTGTCTGTGAATGATTGTTACATTCAATATCAATTCATTCAGGTAATACGTTTTACAACCAAATAGATTATTATGCCACGATACCACTACTACAAACTATAACATTACCAGTAGTTTTTTTTTACATAAACCTTAATTTATAGATTTAATGAATGAACACCGGCCAACAGTGATTTTTGAGTATTGCGCAGAAGAAGATCCGTTAATGTGCATTTGATGATCGTTTGTGTTCAGATATTCAGTAGCGGTTATTTGTGCGAGCACATGTGAAGAGTTTTCACTGTCAGTGGTTCCTGCTGTGTTTTGATACTGTTCAAATAACACAAATAAGAGTCGGAACAACAGTGTTCTTCTTTTGGTTTATTGCGCAATATGAATTACCAAACTCTGTGAACACAGGTATTTTGGACAATGAACTAGCCAACCAAAATCTAACCCAGAGTTAATCTCTAGACTGGCCAAATACAATTCAATACACTACAGTTCCCTTTACATGCGTTTGAACGCAAAACCAACATTGTCTAATAATTCAAATGTAGCTGTATACATTATTATTATACAAAGCAAAGGGCATGCAATGATATTTGGGCTACAGATGCCTATAGTCTCTTCTGTGTTTGTTGCAAAGATATCTAATTATGATAATAATAATAATCATTTAAATTCAATCTCTATCTAAATATTAACATGTTATTGTATTGTTATATAGGCTATATATGATCCGAAGTAACTAGTAAATTGCTACTTGAATAGATTTTTCATTGGATACTTTAAGTCAAGTCAAGTAACTAAAGTCCTCATGAAATCAAAATTGACCCTATTTACTTTGTCAGCACACATTACTGGTCTTAAGGTGAACAATTTATCCGTGCACATTAATACACAGAAAAAATAGTTTATCATGGTAATCTTTCATCAAAATCTGAAGTTACTTCCGGTCTGGAATGGCGTTCCATCTCCGATGATGTCATTTTGACGGCATGGCATAAAAGTAGCATAAGGTGATAAAAATGTATACTAAAATGTATTTGAAATACATTTATGTTGTGCTATATATACTACAAATACATTTACATAATGTACTTTTTGGTATACTAAACTGGTATACTTAAAGTCTACTAAATTGGAACAACTAATTTTGTACTGAATGCACTTTAATTGTGCAGAAGTAGTGCTGTAGTCCAACTAAAAATATACTTAAGTATACTTGATTGTGCTAAAGTGGAACTATTGCAAGTATACTTTAGGTACATTTTAAATATCTTGCATTTAAAGACTGATATAGAGATCATACAATCATTCTTTATAAACATATTAAAACACATTTTATGCTTAATAGGGGATAGTTTCCATTATAAACTATTATTTATATTGGAAACATTTGAAACCATCCTAAATTACTTCCTCAAGTACTATTACATTTCCTTGCTCTTTTTACTGCTTTGTGTTGCTCATCCCACTCAGGCACACACACACTCACACAGGCTCACGTGCTTACAATAAACTCTGTGTTCACAGGCGTTTTTGAAAAACGAATCAGCCATCATGTAAACAAAGAGCACAGCTCCATAATCCCCCACCCCCAACCCTATTCTCTCTCCCCCTCCCTCTTTAATGCTTTCTATCTTTCTCCTACCAGCTATGAAAGAGGACAGGACAGTTCTGTTGTTAAGTGGCTGGGTGGCACGATAGTTATCCTGGAGAACCATGGGCTCTGCTTCTTCCGCTTTGCTGGAGTACAACAGTGTCTCTAATTTCATTAGCTGAAGAGAAAAGCAGAGAAGAGAAGAGAAGAGAAGAGAAGAGAAGAGAAGAGAAGAGAAGAGAAGAGAAGAGAAGAGAAGAGTTTAACACATCTTTATTAAATACAATTCCTCTTCAATACATCACTGTTCACAAATTCCTCATTACCTTATCTGGTAACACTTTACAATACGGGTGCACTAATATGCATTAATTCATATTTAACTAATGCATAGATAATCATGAGTAAATGTATGATTCATGAAGAACTAAACCATTAATTAATGATTACTGCATCAGCAACTAATAAAGAGTCTATATGATTAATAGATTAAGTAATACATGAATTGCTATTAATTCAATGTGTCATTGTATATTAATTCCTTAATAACCTATTTTATTAACTAATAGTGTAAATTAATGTGTTAATTACCACAATTAGTCAAAGCTATGCACTTCAACTTCCAGTTGTCTGCTTTAATTAATCATTAGCTAATGATTTGCAAAGGTATCATTATGTTATGACTTTACTTGTTGAGGCACATCATTATTAACTAGTCATTTAGTAATTGTAGTAATTTACACATGAATTTGCACTAACAATGAAGTAATTAATCATGTATTAATGCATATTAGTGTATTATCTGGAAGTTGAAATACAAGGCTTTGGCTCATTCTGGTAATTAACATATTAATTAACACTATTAGTTAAAAAAATGAGTTATTAGGGAATTAATTCACAATTACATATTTAATTAATAACAATTCATGTATGAACTAATACATTAACCATACAGACTCTTAATTAGTTCCTAATGTGGTAATCATTAATGAATAGCTTAGATAATCATTAGTTACACATTAATTCAGTATTATCTGTGCATTAGTTAAGCATGAATTAATGCTTATTAGTGCACCCGTATTGTAAAGTGTTACCCTTTGGGATGAACTGGTTTAATGTGTGACGTCTCATTGCATCTGAACTCCCGCTTCCAATTTGCCAATTTTTCAATACCCATAACATAGTTCAGGATACAAAATATTGTCTTTTTGACATTCTATACTTTACACCTCCTAAGTACATACACAAAAAGCTTCACCAAATCTTCTAAACCGTTCAGTCAAAACTCTAAAAAGCCCCTCCAATCATTTGTTATTCAGAAATAAATGTTCCACAGTCTCTTCTTGGCTACAGAACCCACACTTCCATTTACTGCTGGGTTGAGGTGAGCCACATATCTGTTTGTAGCTATTGCCCTGTGAATAAGTCTCCACTGCAAATCTGTAGTTTGCTTCTAATGGAAACTTATACAGGGACCTCCACTGATCTCTCAAGGGGAAAGGTGGCCCAACCCATCTCGTCCACCTCAATGGCTGCCGTTCCTTCAGTGCCTCTTTATGAACAGTCTTGACACATAGGTTATAGTAAACCTTTTTAGACATAATCAATTGTCCATGTCTCAGAAGTTTCAGAAACCTCTCAATGATGGTCTTCCAACAGACTGTTGTCATAAGTAGAACAAATGAACAGTTTCTGAGGGATAGCATCAGTCTGTTCATTCGTATAACATCTCAGTAATATCCCGTCAAAAATGAGCTTATTTCTTCTAAAAACCGCATGGCGAGACGTGGAGATCGCAGTCCGGTCAAGTACATTATATCCTCCACTGACTTCCAGCCATGATTGACCAAATCCTTTAGCTTTGTGCAGTTTTTTCTTAAAATATTCTCATGTACACTCCTAGAAGACATCAGTCTACCATGAACCACTGGATTATGAAAGAGTGGTTCCTCCAATGCCCAGTTTTTAGGTATCTCGAAAAGTCTTTTAATCTTGAAAGTTTTAGCCCATGCTTGTAACACTGATTTATAAAAGGATGTAGTCTCTGTTTGGTCCATCTCTTGAGTTTGTATCCAGAAAATATGTATATCATAGACCCCTCTACTCTTCTCAGGATTGCACCTGCGTACGTCCATGTCAATTCTTTTCTACACACAATTCTTTTTCAGAAATAAGTCTGAAAGCTTAAATCCTGCCCTTAATGTCTATCAAGCCTTGTCCTTGTTCACAAGGAGGCAATTAAAGTTGTGCAGCACGAATCCAGTATTTACCGTTCCAGAAGAAATCTACTAGTGTCTTTTGTATAAAATCACCAATTATTCTGGCTTTAAAACCTTCTCTGCCCCACTTTAATCCTCCTTGTAACTCTGGAAGCCATTGACCTACTGCATATCATTCACTCTTACTCCAATTTACTTTAGCAGTGGATGCTTTTTCCAACCCGATCTCACGACCAATTCGTCCGAATTTGACGAGTGATTAAAAGATGGCTAATTCGTAACAATTCGTACGACCTCACTCGTACGAATTAGTACGATTTTTGCTAAAACGTACATATTTGACGAGTTGCCCAATTCGTATGAATTCGTACGAATGACCTACCCCTGACCCCGCCCCTAAACCTACCCATCACGTGGGTTTAGACAAATCGTACAAATTCGTACGAATGAGGTCGTACGAATTCGTACGAATTAGCCATCTTTTAATCACTCGTCAAATTCGGACGAATTGGTCGTGAGATAGCGTTGGCTTTTTCATATGCCTCTTTGCTTTTTATAAGATTATTGACATCTACAGTATTTGTCCACTTAGAAATACTAATAGCTCAATTCTATTACAATTAGAATCATTCGGTTTTAAAAACCCTTTAAGATCTTTTCTCATTCTTCTTAATAATGGTTCAATGGTGTATAATTGACCAGAGAGTGGTCACCCTTGCCTACTTCCTCTTTTTTTTTACAGGGATTGAGGCACTCAACCCCCCTCCCACCTTCAAAATACAGAAACATCACAATATCCAATAATTTGTTTTGGTTTTATCCAAGAAATAAACCTATCACCAAAAGCACTCAAAACTTTGAAAAGATATCCATGGTCCACCCTATCAAAAAAATTGTGATCTATTTATATAAAAAAACATGTTAATATTCTCTCTGAAACTCAAATCAATAGCATCTCTTAAAATAAAAATATTATCCATAATACAGGTACACAATAAGTCTGGTCACTATGAATCATTTTTTTCAGATAGCGTTTCAACCGGTTCTGGGGTCGCACACCGAACGAGAAGTGCAGCGCCATGTCTTTAAAATTCGAACACATTATTCTCTATGAGTGTACACACACCGGCGGCGCCATTCGGCATCTGTCCGCGGCGCCCAGCTACGGCTCAGGACCTTGTTCAAAACCCTGCCGCGCCACAGAGCGCCATTTACATAGTTGTATATTAAATTAACATTTATTTGTCTCAAATCGCCGTTAATGTACATACTGACTTCACCCTGTGCTGCAATTTACATTTAGTTTTACATTCGTTTACAGAAATCATTTACAGCAGCTAGAATTAAAATTGCTTATGTTCGCGGATTTTCAGTTGATATTCTCATAACGAACGCTCTGAGGTAAAAGTGTGTTCAGACTGAAGACATAGCAACGATTGTATTAAACTGTTCAGTACAATCATAACATAGCACAGACATTATCTTAATTCCATAATGTCTTTAAACATATTGCTGGCCATAAACTGAGAAAGTGCGCGTCGAGTTGTCCTAGACACGATGTGGCGCGGCGCTGTGCTTCTCGTCCGGTAAGCGACCCCCTTAAATATTTGGTTTAAATTGTGTAATAATCCATACATAAAAGAGAAACGTGTCTCCAATTATTCAAAAATCCTGAATCCCCTTTTTTAGGTAACAGGGATAATCCTGCTCATCCACAGCTGCTTGAAAATTAATAATCTTCAAAGCAAACACTCTGTAACAGTTCCACTATTACAGGGTGTAATTTTCATCCTGGCCACTAGGGGTCACCAGGGAGAATGTTGTCGCTAGGACGTGGTTTCTTTAATAGAGGGAGAGAAGAAGAAGGGGTTGGGGAGGTCACAGGTGCTAAGGGGAGATGGTGATTTAATTGAGATGGAGATGGACTAATTATTAATAACATGTTTTACATGATAGCCACAGCATTTCTGTGGGTGTCTTTCTACTTGCTTTGCAGCAGCAGCAGCCTAAGAGGATATATTACACCCAGGCCACTACTACTGTCACTTCCAGTAATATGAATATGACAGTTTATCTCAAGAAATGTCATGACTGAACTAATGAATATGAAAAGTTAGCATTGCTTGAGCTTTCACACAGTGTCTTTGTACCTGTGAATGAGATATTTTCACCCTTTCATTGAAGATGGTCCAGAGGACACTCTGGCGGCAGGGTGGAGTGGTGAGTGAGCCATTGTAGCGGAAATATTCGCTGAGGTTGTTAGGCAGCAGTGACTGTATGTCAAATGCAGGGATAGCCACCTTCTGGCCTGAAATAAATCAAACAAATATTAAAAGTTGTAAACATTTTAATGAAATTGTATGTCTTGTATGTTGATTTACAAATAACCCAAAAGGCTGAAGCACGGTAATCACACACGTATACAGTAGACATACTCGCACATGCACACAATTACATGCCTGCATATCTGATGCGGCCCAGATAGTTGAGAATACTACCATATGCCTGATTAATCTCTTCACCTGCCTGAAAAAGCAAACAACTGAATGAGATAAAGTTTGAGTGGTAATTTATATATATATATATATATATATACTACATGAATATAGGGTTTGATTAAATAGAAATCACCTCAATTAGAATCCCTAACACAGCCAGGCCATTTTCTTGGGTCGCAGCTTCGGTCATATTAGCATAAACCTCTGTATTGTAATGGACAATATGGAGCTGAGAGAAAAGAGAGAGTGCATGTTCAGGTTATAATATTTTGGGATCTTACATAAGACATGTTTTCTTTCATAGTTTCGCTCAACGTTGTGAAGTAACTGACACTATAGAGTGGTGCAGGTATGACTTCACTTTGTAGGCCAAAACTCAGAAGCAAGTTAGCATTTTAGTAACATTCGGTTCCATCGTCCTATGAAAGTGATCTTCTCTGTTACATATGTAACCTTGGTTCACTTAATGGGGAACAAGACACTGCGTAGCTGACCATGCTATATAGCCCTAGTGTTTCCTGTGTTTATTGTTTGTTGTTGTTGTCAGATCAGGACAAGGAGTCAGTCAGCAGGCACCAAAAAAAAACGGGTTTAAACTGAGATAATTTCAAAAAGGCAACAAAAAGGCTGTCAATAATTCAGACCAGAACTCAACAATCCAGACAGGAACAATCTCAGTGGAACATACGGGGTAGCGTTCATCTAGCGTAGATGAAAGTAACGGCTGAAGAGCCAGAACAAGGCGGTGTAATGCAGCGGGGGGCGCTGTTGAGGCAGGGGACTGGCGGCACTCAGGCGGCACGTGAAGCAGAGTGGAGACAAAGACAATCCGCGATCAGAGATCGAGAGCGCAACCAGGGCTGAATACAGTGGGGAACAAAAACAAAACTGGCAAAGTATCCCACAGGACATGGCAGAACACAAGACAATGAGGCTGGAATCCAACAAGACACGGCAGAATAGACACAATAAGGCTGGAACATACGCTTGCACAAACAACGATCTGGCACAAGACAGCACACTAGAGGGAACTAAATAGGGGACTAAAAGATTAAATTGATACAGAACAGGTGGAAGGAGTGAAACAATAACGAGGTAATGGATGGAATAACAAGGGGGTTGGATAAGATGCCACGATAACAGAGAAGAGAAGATGTAGTCCAAACCAACACAAACACAACAGAGACAGGGAAAAAAACGGACAGATCAGCCCAGGGACATGAGAGTTGTTAGTTTGTGTTTCTGTGCTCAGTTTGTTCTCCTTGTGTTGTTTTTTGGTCTTTAAGTTAATTGTATTTTTTGTTACTTTAATAAAACTCTGCATTTAGATCCTGCTCTCCTTGTATCTGAGTTTCACCCACATTACAGAACAGCAGACCAAGAAATGGATACAGCAGAGGAGCTCTTGTACCTTTGTCATGACATCCCCAAACCCTCAAGTTCAGTGGTTCTCCCCCTGTCGTTATTGCTTCCCATGGTGGTTTCCACTATCCTGTGTGTGTGGGCCAAGCACACATAACCGTTGGACACCCATGCCCTGAGAAGGTGGTATCTGCACCTGGACTCTCTACCACAGTCATGGAGGCCCTTCATGCTTGTTCTGTTACGGTCACACAGCCTGTCTCTGAGTTCCCAGTGTTTCCTGTGTTTCCTGACTGTTTTGTCACAGCTAGCCCTGCTTGCTCCACTGTCTCCAGCTTTGCTGTAGTCTCCTGCTCCGCCTGCACTGCACCATCTTCTACGGCACTCTGGTGGTCTCCTGTAGCACTCTGGTGGTCTCCTGTAGCACTCTGGTGGTCTTCTGCTCCATCTGCGCTGCCCTGGTGATCTTCTGCTCTACATGTGCCACCCTGGTGGTCTCCTGCGCCCCTCTAGTGTTCCCTAATTCCTTTAATTGATCTAGGAGCTTATCTTCTATTAATATCCCAGAATGGAACTACTTATGTCGTAAAAATGGTTGTTATGATTCTTTTTAATCTAATTTTGATTTAAAAAAAAAAAAGTACATTCCTGTTGTCTCTCAACAATCCTCTACCATCACACACAGAAGGCAGCACAATACTGATAATCTGCATCCTATTTGCTCCTCTTCTAATGCACCTCTCTATGTATCTGTGGGTCTCTGGAATTGTCAGTCAGCAGTCAACAAAGCTGACTTCATTCCAGCCTTTGCAACTTAATCTACTCTCAATATCTTGGGCTTGACCGAGACCTGGATTCGTCCAGAGGACTGCAGCAGTCCCCGCTGCTCTCTCTAACAACTTCTCTTTCTCTCACACCCCTCATCAGTCTGGGAGGGATGGGGGCACAGGTCTTCTCATTTCTAACAATTATAAGTACTCAACTCACTCTTCTCTTTGCAATAACATGTCGTTTGCATTTCATGCTATTATAGTAACACTTCCTGTTAAAATCCATAGTAAATTATCGCTCCGCAGGTCAACTGAGTACCTTTATAGAGGAGTTGGATGTCTCCCACTTGTAGTCTTTGGTGATTTCAACATCCATCTGGAAAAGCCTTATGCTAAAGACTTCCACTCTCTCCTAGCCTCATTTGATCTAAAATGGCTCATCACCACAGGTACTCACAAATCAGGCAACCAACTTGACCTAATTTACACGCGCAACTGCATCACAGAGAGTTTTAGGTAAAACCTCTGCACATTTCTGATCATTTCTTCATTACTTTGAATCTAGAACTTACTACTTGTGCACCACCAACCCCTCTACCAGTTGCTTTCAGACAAAACCCGTGCTCACTTTCTCGCTCCCATCTTTCCTAAGTTGTGCCATCGTCTCTTCCCTAATTATCATCATCTCTGGATGTAAATACTGCAACAGACACTTTATATTCCACTTTAACTTCTTGTCTAGTCAATATCTGTCCTCTCCCTTTCAGGCCAGCGTGTGCTACCAGTGTTGGAGAAGCTAGTCTCAAACCTTGACAAGCTACAAGCTACTCATAAGTTAAAGTAGTTAAGATACAGCCAAGCTACCCTTCTGAAAAAGTAGTTAGCTACATAAGTTACAATCAAAAAGTAGAAACTTTTTAAAAATGAGTACATTGAAACTATAAATTATGATTTCAAAGAGTATTGCTTTATTTTGTAAACTATCCAATAATACACATAATGCTCAAATATAGCATATATCTTAAACTGACTGACAAAGTGCAAAATTAAATGTAACATCAATGCAAGAACAAAATGTATGCAAATAAAATTGGATACAAAGAAGTAGTCAAAAATGCATGTTAAACTTAAAGCACATGCTAACGGAGCTTGCAGCATTCTGAGACCAGCCGCAAACTTAATTTAATTAGATCACAGCCTTTGTCGTGTGATAAGCGCAGTAATATCGTGATTTTGTTTTCAAAGCAATGGAGCAAAAAACAATGTTGGTTATCTTTTAGGTTCATACTAAAACTATGGCGGGACATCATTCTAATTATTAACCAGAAACAGACATTTGATATAGAGTGTGAAAAAGCAGGATAATTAATCAATTTAAAAAAGGCTATAATTCACCTGAATGTGCTTTAAGTCTTCGACGCAGACAGCATTTTAATATTTTGTTTTCATAAATTACAGTGGATTCATGTGAAATAACCTGCTCCTGTATGTCCTTACATAAAGCCGCAAGATGTGTGATAAAACAATAGATGGCAGTAATGGACAATTTTAGTTTGTGATCTAATAAGAAGAAAACGCTGCACTGCTTCAATGCTTGGCAGGCTCGTCAAAACTCAAAATGGAATGTAGCTTTTGGTCTTGCTACAACGCCACTTGTTGGAAAACGTAGTTAGCTACTGGAAAAGCTACACTGTTTTAAAAGCAACTGAGCTACTGTCAATCTACTGAAAAATTTTGGGTAACACTTTATATTACGACCCGCAAACAACTGCGTAAGTAAACCGAAATTACGGTGTACATTTATGTAATTATAGTGTACTTCCGTGTAGGTACCGTATAAGGGAACAATATGTTAAGTTTTGGGTAATAAAGGGGTACAACCAGATATACAAGCAAATTATTTATAATGTAATTATTTTAAAACTAACAGGTACCTATTCTGTTAATATATTCCAGGCAAAAATTGTACGTCTGTTGTATATAAAAGTTTTTATCACATTTCTGGCAAAATATGTTCTTGTGCAATGTAGTTACAGGGTAATTTTGACATCTGTGGGTTGTAAATTAAATATATATATATATATATATATGGCTGTATGTAAGCACAGTATGACAAAAAATGAATTTATTGGCTTTTCTAACTAAACTACTTAACGTTAGGCCAAAAAAATTATATCTGTTTGTACCCCTTTATTACCCAAAACTTAACATATTGTTCCCTTACCTACACGGAAGTACACTATAATTACAGAAACGTACACCGTAATTTCGGTTTACTTACGAAGTTCTTTGCAGGTTGTATATCTGCTTGTTACCCCTTTATTACCCAAAACTTATATACCCTTATACCTACACGGAAGTACACTATAATTACGTAAACGTACACTGTAATTTCGGTTTACTTACGCAGTTGTTTGCGGGTCGTAATATAAAGTGTTACCAAATTTTGTTAAGTTAGTAGTGTTGCTACTTGTAGTAAACTACTCCCTAACACTGCGTGCTACTCCCTCTAACCCATGGTTATCTGATGTTCTTCGTGAACACCGGACCAAACTCAGGGCATCAGAGAGAAAATGGCACAAATAAAAAAAAAAACTCTGACCTGAGTATGTATCAATCTCTGCTCTCATCCTTCTCTGTTGAAGTCCATGCTGCAAAATCTTCATATTTAGACAAAAAGATCAACAGCACTTTGAACACATGCAAGCTTTTCAAAACTTTCAACTCTCTCTTCTGTCCCCCTCCACCACCTCTTTAACTGCTAATGATTTTGCTCATTTCTTCACTGACAAAACTACAACCATAAGCACACATTAAACACATCACTTGTAGATAGTTACAGACCTGTCTCTCTTCTACCATTCATAGAGAAAACACTTGAACGAGTTGTATTCAACCAGGTATCATCTTTCTTTTCACATAATAACCAGCTGGACGTTAACCAATCTGGTTTCAAGAACAGCCATTCAACCGAGACTGCATTACAACCGGTCACTGAAGCCTTGCCGATTGTGAAAGCTGATTCCAAATCATCAGTTCTCATTCTCCTGGATCTATCTGCTACGTTTGACACTGTGAATCAATCATCAGATCCTTCTGTCCACCCTCTCATCACGGGGCATCATAGAAACTCCACTTCACTGGTTTGAATCCTATCTCACAGGTAGATCTTTCACGGTTGCCTGGAGAAGGGAGGTATCCAAAGCACATTAACTGATCACGGGGGTTCCTCAGGGTTCAGTTCTTGGACCCATCCTCCTCTCCATATACACTACATCACTGGGACCCATCATACAGGCACATGGTTTCTCCTACCATTGCTATGCTGATGACACGCAGCTCTACATTTCATTTCAATCTGTTACTTTAATTTATTATTTACCTATTATCACTGTAAAGCCGCTTTGGAACAATCTACATTGTTAAAAGCGCTATATAAATTAAGATGACTTGACTTGATTTCAACCAGATGATTCCACAGTAGCTGCACGTATCTCAAGCTGTCTGGCGGACATCTTGGCATGGATGAAAGAACATCACCTGCAGCTCAACCTGGCAAAGACTGAGTTTCTCTTCTTCCCTGCCAATCCGACTCTACAGCACGATTTCACTATCCAGATAGGTTCATCATCAATTACCCCATCAAGGTCGGTCAGAAATCTTGGAGTAATCTTTGAGGACCATGCAGCTGACTTTCAAACACCACATTGCAAATGCAAAGATAGCTTGGTCATGCAGGTAAGGGTTACACTACACAACCTCAGGAAGATCAGGCCTTTCCTAACTGCCCTTACGAAAAAGAAGTTTATTCAAGTGTGCTATTATTAGTATACTTCTTTTAAACTAAAAATAAGAAAGTATACTTTCAGTCTACTTTTTATGTACTTCTCAGAAATATACTTTATGTACTTCTCAGAAATATACTTCAAATTGCACTTAAAGCCCATCTTTCAAGTTGAAGATCCCTGTGAATAGATGTGTAGATAAATGGTGTAGGAACTCGATTTGCGTGAAGAAATTAATCATAAATGTGCATTAAAAAAGTTTTTTAAAAGAAATTGTGAGTAAAATTACTTCCGCTGTCAAAAACGCTCTGATCGGACGTGACGCAACGGCCGGTAAATCTCATCTCTTCGTAATGGAGTCAGCCATTGAAGAGGTTGCAGTAGGAGTTCATGTCAACTCTTCCGATGGGCTATTGCCGTATAATTATGAGCCACCTAGGCGAGAGAGGGGTCAGATACGAAACGTATCCAAGCACGGAAATCTTTGTGTTTCTTGTTTGGAAATCGGTGGACCCGATGACCAGACAAGTTGGAGTGGTTGCATCCAAAACAAACACAAGAATTCACCATTGTGACAATTCAAACCAACTCAACTAACGTTATAACGATAACTACAAGCTCTATTTTCTGTACCACCTCTCAGACTACGTAAACCCACACTGAGAACCAGGGCAGCAACGCCTATTTGTTTGCCTGTCGTTGCGTCATATGACGCGTTCTCTGGAAAAGGGCGGTTTTTTGAGCCTGGCTTAGAATAGGTACACTTTTTCCTGAATTTCTGCCTGTGGGTGTTGTAAAACATATGTATTCTTATGTATGTCTTTTTAAATTGACATTTTCATACAAGATTCTGTATAAATTAAGTTATACAATTAAATTGAAAGATGGCCTTTAAGTATACTTGACTTATACTGACAGAAAAGTCTCAGCATATTTGGCCTATACTTGTTGATCGAGATATACTTAAAAGTATAATTAAGTATTGTAAGTATTCTTGGCTTGTACTTCTGTTTACTATTTTGATTGAGTAGCTTATTAAATACTTTTAAAAAAACATAATATTACACACTGTCTTATAAACTAACATGTTCAAGTTTATATAAAGCTTTCGGGTAGAATAGCTTATAGAGTAAATAAAATAAGCATGGAACTGAACCTGATCTTGTACACAACGATAATAATGCAACACAACTTCTCGTCCAGGCCCTGGTCATTTCTAGGCTTGATTACTGCAATGCTATTCTGGTTGGACTTCTATTATATGCAATCAAACCTCTACAAATGGTTCAGAATGCTGCAGCACATCTTGTCTTCAACTAGCCCAAAAGGGCCCACATCACACCTCTCTTTATCTCTCTGCACTTGCTGCTCGGATCAAGTTCAAGGCATTGATGCTTGCTTACAGATCTATCACAGGCTCAGCACCCTCCTACTTTCACTCGCTCTTACCAGTCTACATCCCTACCAGAAGCCTGCGATCGGTAAATGAGTGACGGCTTGTGGTATCATCTTGTGCCCAAAGAGAGGCACAAAATCACTCTCCAGAACTTTTTCGTTCCTTGCTGGTGGAATGATCTCCCCACCCTCATCCAGAATGCAGAATCCCTAACAATATTCAAAAGACTGCTGAAAACTCGTCTCTTCCATTAGCACTTTACCTCACCATAAAAAAAATTCTATGCTTTCATTTTTAATTGAATCCCTCCCTATTCTAGCTTATTCTACTCCAAGCAATGTCTGAAACTTTGTATTATGAGCACTTCTTGTGTTTATTTGCCACTTTACGATGAATCGCTTGCTGTACCTCATTTGTAAGTCGCTTTGGATTAAAGCGTCTGCAAAATGAATAAATGTAAATGATCACATAATGAAAAGGATTTTAAAAAGCACAGCTGATATTATTTCAGGTTCACACTGGAAATGGCCACACACAGTTTGGTCTGTTATGTACTGCACGTTTTGGCAAATGTAGATATTCCATGCTTACATAAAATTTACATATATGCACATTATATATACACTATCTACTCCTGAAATCGTGAGAGTAGAATGGTAGTATGTAGTGATGTCGCTAGGTTTGGGCACCTTTTACAGTTTATTGCATTGGGCCCACTTGAAATTGCTTTTCCGGGGCTGAAGGCCCCCTGTACTCATTCCCACCTTTCCCCCTACTACTGACACCCCTAGTAGTATTCTGTTCTGAGCATACAGTCTATATAAAGACATAAGTAATCTACTAATGAGAAAAACATTTGAGCAATGCAGCGGTCAGTGTATTGATCTCTGTCTAGAGATATGTTTAAGCTGTATTTAAAACATATTTACACTGATACACATGCACACACCTCTGCGGAAGTGCTCTGTCCATTAATGGTGTGTTCACTTCCTGTAGCTACGCCCACTCCATTACCCCAGTGCAGGTGCAGCTGTACAGCACTATAATACCATGGCAACCCAGCCAAGCCCATCCAATGTGGCAATGTCATCAGCACTGTGTGAGAAAACAAGAGGAAGTTCGAGGTAAAGAAGAGGGTCATGTTTAACAAACTGCATTTGGTCACACTTTATATTAGCTGTCTTTACCTACTATGTACTTACATAAAAATTTATTGTTGAGTACAATGTACTTATTGTGTTCATGTTGTATTGCAAAATACTTGCTGCTATTAAGGAAGGATACTGTTCAGGTCAGGCACATGATTTATGATATTTTTGGGTTTAAGGGTGGGTTAAGGGGTAAAGGAAGGATCAACAGTGTAATTATAGATGTAAATACAGAAATTAATTAGGCTACAGATCTAACTACATGCAGGATTTTTTAAATATATGTACAACATAAAAATGTATGTACACAATAAGTTCATTGTATCAAATGATTAATTTAAATGTTAGTACATAGTAGACACTTAATATAAAGAGGGAACCAGTATTTCACTGTCACACAGTTTTATGCTCAAATGTTGTTACAGTGACACCTAAAAGTAACAGTAGTGGCCACTATTAAAAATTTATGAATTTCATTGCAATATGCAAAGGCATTTATGAATTTTTAAGAGGGAATTTATCTTCCAAGTACCTTTTCAAAAAGTATCACTTTATCTAAAGTACATTTTTTAAATAATGCTAAATCTTAAAGGGGATATCTAATGCTATTTCATGCATTGTGACTTATTTACATTGTGAAAGGGTTAAAGAGTTTAGGATTCTCATCCTAAACATAAAATCGTCCTAGCGATAAAAGATCCCGGTCATGAGTAGGAACTGCAGGTGGTAAGTAAAACTGCATCAAATGTCAGTGTTTTGTTGGCAATCGGCGCGTAAACTCTTTAGCTCTGCCCACAGCACGCCTCCAGGAGCTCGACTGTTCCCGGAAAGAAGCGGTACAGCGGTACAGCTGTATCTGTCTTTTACAAATCTGATAAAACTAAAGACTCTTCGGAGATATGAAGGATGCACTAGTCTATAGGTACTCCAGATTAACAATGAGATTGGCAGAAACTGTGTGGATTATGTGCCCTTAAAGGCACACTATGCAGGAATTCCGTTTTGTCAAACAGCGACCTCTAGAGTCGCTGTGGAGTACTTGTATTTAACGTTACAGTCGTAAATATCACTCACGCAGAGCGTCTCTGCCATAGACTGGTCTCTGCACTCACGGCCTGATACCCCTTTGAAGCTGTTATATTAAGGTACAAATCTTGCATAGTGTTAATTTTTTTACATTAAATAAGAGATCTAGCGCTAAAATGTGTTTTTGAACTCAAGCTGAGCGCTCGTGTCCGCTGCTATCAGTGTCATGGATACAGTGTTCTCTGTGGCGTGCAGTCTTCACTCGGACGCGCTCTTCAATCTATCGCCGTTACGGAGACTCTCTATTCATTCCGGTGAAATCACAAAATAAAATGCACAAAAACGTGTCCCTGCTTGATAGGCTAGACTGTAACCACTGATGAACATATTCAGTTTTGATGAGAGAGAAAAAACTTAGAACCTGTAACCTCTGACACGCTTGGCAAAAGATTTACCACTAGACCATTAAAGAACTCAAACAAAACTTGCGGATTGATGCATTTATTTACGGGTTGAGCAGAGAGGCTCATTTGCTTTTCCTAGTCTCTTCCGACCGCGTTTTCTTTGCTTTTTCCATCGTCGAGTATCACGTCTGAAATGCGCGCAAGTGTCTTCGTGCTTCATATGTTGTTGTTGATGTGTGTGACGTCGTTGCCGTAAAGTATGTTGTGATTCTCGCGAGATTTGTCGGGGGCGCTCCTCTCAAACTTGCATTGCTGGTTTTTCCAGCGGCGTCCCCCCCCCCAAGCTTTACTACCAGGATGATTCGCCCTACTATGAGTTTGTTTACCACCGAGATGACTTTGAAGCTGTAATATTAAGGTACAATTCTTGCATATTGTGCCTTTTAATGCCTTTTAGTTCGAATTTAGTTTGAATTTGCTAATAAAATTAAGATATTAAGAAATGTTAAACATAAACATCATGATTGAAACCATATGTATTGTGAAAAGAACTATAGTAGTAAAATTGACTTGAGTTGACTTGACTTGACAAAATTATCACCAAACGGGTGAACATAATCCACTCTGTTGTGGATGGCAGAGTTTTTGTTTTAAATCTCTAGGAGTAGCTTAAGTGTGTGACCATTTTGAATGGGTGAAAAATATCAATTTACCTGAATGGCCATTATTGGAGAGGATGAATGGTCTGTTACCAGGCTGGTTGTATCCCAGGGGCTGCACAGGGATTAGCGTTGGGTCATGTAGTGTTTGCAATGTGTCCACATTTATGGGTGACTGGCTGGAACCACCACAGTCAGGAAAAAACTCTGCCCATTCTGGCTGTCCCACAGCACCTAACACAACCAGAAAATGGTGCCACAGCGAGGTGAATGTTGGTGTGGGAATCAGTCAATGAAAATGTGTGTGGAATTATAAATGATATAAATGCTAGTAAGTTAAAAATAAATCAAAGCATTTAGGGAGAATGTGTGTGTGAGTGTTTACATTATGTTCTGAAAGCTCATAGTGATTAGTGAAGTACTAGCTAAGTGTTAAGTCATGCAAAGTTAATGAGGAAACACATGGTTACAAACCCACAGACTACACACACATTATAAGTGCTGAAACATTCTGAAGTGAAATTAGCTATTGAAAAAAGGGGGGACAGAGCAACCAAAAAAAAAAAAAAAAAGAAAGAAAGAAAGAAAAGGCAGAAAAAAAGTAGTTTTATTGGATAACAAAAGAAAACTTTGCATATGAGTCTGGGTCTTTCAGCTTGGTGCCAAGTCAGTTCTGTGTACACAGGGATTAGAGGCCCACTCAGTCTCACTGTTCACCACGAATATCCCCCAAACCCCTGTTCCACTCCAAAATGTGGGGAGGGGAGGCAGGGTTGCTCTCATTGATCTGTGGTTGCCAAGGAGATCTCTATGACAACTGCAAGACACATATTCCATGCCTCTGTCAGTTTACCTCTTGCATGCTGTCCCAAACATGGACAGGGAACAAAGCATCACTCAACAAAGTAACTGTTTTATTCAGAAATAATGAGTTGGATCACAACAATGGCACACACATTGTACAGGCCTGAAAATGTGTCCTGGAATGTGTGTGTAGAAGGTATAACAGTAGAAATCATTCCAACAGAAATCTTGTATAAGAAAAATAAAGGAAAATTAATTTTTGTTCAAAGAAAAGAACAATATACATCATGTCATTGTGACTTTATTTGTCATATGTCAGTGAAGCACATTTTGACAACCCCTCATTTCTCTCAGTAATTTACTGTAAATAAAAACGCAGAATACAGTGTTTTTCTTCATTATATCTGCATAAATTCAATGGATTGCACCAAATACAAGCATGCCTTATAAATACTTAAATATTATATTACAGTACAATAATGAGAATTTGCATATTAAATAGGCTTAATTGTCATAAAATTGTCATCACTATCTAAACAGTTTTAAAATAGGCTTAATTTTAACTAAGCAAAATATAATTAATTTGATTTATTTATTTAATTTAGACAAATTATTGATGGGTTGTATGAGATTCACCCGGACATTATTTTGCATTTCAGCATACTGTTATTCTTTTTACAGTATTGCTGTTATGTATTTAGTTCTGGACACTCATTAGCACAGATTATGTACCAGTTTAGCGCATGCAATGCAAAATATGGCTAAATAAGCTTTTCCAAAAGCCTTATTATGACAAGAATGTCACAAGATTACATTGGGTTGTTCCAAAATGGCATTGCTGTTCAAGCAGAGCAGCCTCCTATTCTTCATCATGCCATTCTTTTGTATCAAATTAAGCTACTTAAATGCAACCTCTTGCACCTGTGGACATCTCTCTCTCTCTCTCTCTCTCTCTCTCTCTCTCTCTCTCTCTCTCTCTCTCTCTCTCTCTCTCTCTCTCTCTCTCTCTCTCTCTCTCTCTCTCTCTCTCTCTCTCTCTCTCTCTCTCTCTCTCTCTCTCTCTGTGTGTGTGTCCATGTGAGTATGTGATGCTACTATGGAAGAGATTAAATGGAAGTAACAGAGTTTGAAAAGAAAAAGAAATAGAAGAACATAATTGAGGGAAAAGGTAAGCTTGGTTCAAATATGGAAATATTATTTTCCAGAAAAACAACCAAATAGCTAAATCTTCAAAAGGCTTTTTTTCACAGAAGCTTTGACCCAAAGTAATTCATAAGTATTTTCCATTATGCATTATCTATGTCTATAGATAACATTATCTAGTTATCTATGATATCCTAATTGCAACTACATAACACATTGAAAGTGAAAGAAAATCTGTCACAAAATCATGGAGAGAGGGAAAAAATAAAGAACTGTATTACCTGCATATGTCCATTCTTTTGCTTAAAAAAGAGGAAGAATATAATAAAGGTTACAACGGATTCGCTGCGTATTTTAGCACTTTTTATTTTTTTTTACTCAAACAGTTAGTGTCTACACATCAGAGCAGTTTAATTATTACACAATTAAATGTTACTGAAGCATCAAAACTATATATATAACTTATAACCTATAACTTGTTCTCTTTTCATCTGTGTTTAGCAATGATCATTGTTACAAAATGCTATTGTATTAATAATACATTACTAATCAAAGTCTCACCTGTTCCTGAGCACTCCACACACTTCAAAAAGAGAGAAAGAGACACTGTTATCCAGAAAAGGTCCATGCTTTCACCCTCCTCTCCACAGGCCTCACACACTCACAAAATGTAAAAATGTAGAAATGTTGGAAATCCAAGTATTAAAAGGTCAACAGCAGAACGGCTTGAAAAATGTATGTATCGAAAAACATTCACAAAGAAAAAGTAATTCTTGGTCCTTTTTTGTATCTGAATGATTTGGTCCAGCAAGCTGAATTGTGGAAGAGAGAGGCCATTGCATGCCACAGAAGAAGATTAAGAGTTACACCATGAAGAGAGAGAGAGAACCGGAAGGAGAAAAGGACAAATGAACGAGAAAATCACTTGCTGCTGGACACTGAAAAATGTGCATGACACAACTAGCTGAGAGGGGGGAGGTGGGGGGGACTGAGGCAAAGCCTGATTGAAGGGGTACTGAGGTGATAATAAAGAGAGAATGAATAGAGACAGTCAGAGAGAGAGAGAGAGAGAGAGAGAGAGAGAGAGAGAGAGAGAGAGAGAGAGAGAGAACAGAGAATAGAAAGTTCAGAATCCATTTAGTACTGTAAACTGCAAACAATGTTTTACGAAGTTTTTTGGCATGCAAATCTACCAAATTGTCAATTTCACGGTGCTGTTAAAAAATCTACAGTAAATAAAAAGATATGCTATACATGATAATGCAGACATTGATTAAAACATCATAATTTACAGATACATGACATTTGGCTCTTTTTATTTCTCAAACGGAATGTAACTGAAGTAAACTTATGTAAATACATTTTGTGTTGAATGTAAAACATAATGTTTCTAGAAACTTTAGAACATCTGTTTCTAAAGCCCAAAGGTACTTTAAAGGGGTTCTTGATTATGATTTCACTTTTTTAACTTTAGTTAGTATGTAATGTTGATATTTGAGCATAAACAACATCTGCTCAAAGTTCAATGTAAAGGGAGATATTTTCTTTTAAAGAAATAGATTTTTAAGGACTACAACAAAAGGCTGGTGGGGACTACAATGAGCTTCTTCCCGGGTTGGTGACATCACGAACACTAAAGTTCAGTAGCCCTGCCCACTGATTTGAGCACAACAAGTAGTAAATAACAGACGTGATAACACTGGATCGAGCAACTAAGCGATAAACATGCCTCTGAAGAATGCAAAATGTTGTGCAGTGCCAGGTCGTGGAAAAACACAGTAGCTGCATTGGATTTGCAGAGAGCCTGAAATAAAAAAATATGTATCAATTGCATTCATAATCGGCCTTACAGTCGTTAAGTGTGTCCCTGGCTTAAGTGTGTTCAGTTCAGTCTTAGAATGTTTCAGCTAGTCAAGTGTGTCCCCAGCTTTTTCTATTTCCATATGCAAAGATGTTAGCCAATCACAGCAGTGGGCATTTATACTGAAGTCTCACAGCAGACATGCCCCTTAAAGCAGCACTAAGTAGGAATTCCGTTTTTGTCAAACAGCGACCCTTAGAGTCGCTGTGGAGTACTTGTACTGTCGTGAATAGCACTCACGCAGAGATGGCTCGCACTCACGGCCAGATCCCCTCCCCCTGTACACCGGTACCTGTTCAGTAGGATGGACGCTGTAACGAGTGGAAATAAGGTATGGCCCCTTTAAGAGCTGCGCGCGCCCAACACAACATGTATACGGCGCCGGGTTGTTTCTGTTTGATGCTCATTTTATCAGAATTTTATCAGATCTGTTTTTTGCCGTAAAGCAATTCGTTACCTCGCGAGACCTGATATCACACGATACTTCCTAACACTGAGGCCTGCGGCTCGCCGGCCCAAAGTTGCAAGGGTGGTTTTGCGGCTCACAGGCACCAGGGGGGTGCGAGACGACCACCATTCAACACGAAATCAGTAATATAAACATTACAATGACTCCAAAGCTGTTCGGTTAAGGTAAAAAAGTTACTTAGTTCACCTTTAACTGTCGGCAGTTTGTATTGTATGTGCGCCTCGAACACCACATGTATACGGCGTCGGGTTATTTCTGTTTGATGCTTATTTTATCAGATCTTTTATGCCGTAAAGCAATTCGTTACATCGCGAGACCTGATATCACGCGACACTTCCTGATGCTGCGGCCGGCGGCCTGCCGGCTCAAAGTTGCAAGTGTGTTTTTTCCGCTCACATGTGATAGGGGTGTGCGAAACGACCACCATTCAACTCGAAAAGAGTAATATAACCATTCCAATGACTCCCGAAGCTGTTCGGTTGAGGTAAAAAAAAAAACCTGCATAGTTCACCTTTAACTGAAGTAAACATTTGTAATTGACCACTGACATTTATTATTATTATTATTAACACATTACTGCTAGTACTAACTAAATATTCCATCCTCAGGCCGCTCCAGACCCAGGAGAGATGCTTTCTCTCAGACGGCTGGTCAGGAGGTTTAGAGACCCGGTTCTGATGATCGTGATCAGGATCCGCTGCCAGACCCGATACAGAGGCAGGATCTTCCTGGATATTTAACATCTCTGTCTTCTGAGTTTTCTGTTTCTGTGTCCACAGGTCAGGCTCACGGGACGAGGGCGAAGCAGAACCCAGATGATGGACGTCCGTCCACTTCATCTAAACACTCTCGCAGAGGTCAGAATAGGCTTTTAATAATGAAGTAATGGCTTAGTTTCTATTTCTATTTTCAATGGCTGATTTGTCATTGAAAATAGAAAGCCAACCAAAAATTGAAAAAAAATTGAAAATTGAACCAACAAAAGTAACGGTAACACTTTATTTTGATGGTCCCTTTTGAACATTCTGTTGACTAAAAGTAACTTTGCAACTACATGTCAACTAACTCTCATTAGAGTATCAGTAGACTCTGCTTAATATCTGCTAACTTTTTATTGTGATGCTGCTACAACAGACACTCTACTGACTATAAGTAACTTTACAACTATTCATGTCAACTTATTCTAACCCTACCAGTCTACTAATACTCTAATGAGAGTTAGTAGACATGTAGGTGCAATGTTACTTATAGACAACTGAATGTCTTAAAGGGACCAAAATAAAGTGAAACCAAAGTAACAATATGATGTGACCACTGACATTGATTATTAATATTATAAAAAATATATTAAACAAAAGAGTTTTTGATGTCTGAAATGTTCCATCCTCAGACGGCTCCAGATCCTGGAGAACTGCTTCCACAGATTCTTCTCCGGGCATCACGTCGTCCTCAGCTTTGTCCCTCTCTGAGGTCCATGTGGAGAGGAGGTGTAGAGAGTCGTTGAGTCTGAGCATCCGAGGCTCCTACAGCGTCGAGTGGAGGTGGAGTGGCGATGGATCGGAGAGCCCAAACCAACAGGGTTTGTCCAGGTCCGACAGCCTCGAAGCGTTTCTGTGTCCTCCGCTGCCGGGTCAAGTTCCTGTCGAGCCACCAGAGACTTCAACTGGCCGAACTGCTCAGGGTGCCGTGGAGGCTTCTCCAGCGAACAAGAGCTCAACAGGTGAGACTGAAATAAGGCTGGGCAGTGTAAAGTCTACAGATACAGATTTTGCTATTTCATGCATAACTGAGTCAAGTTTTTAACATGTTAATGTCCGGTCACATTTACTGTTGCTCAGCAAAATTTTCTTTCTGATTTTTTATTTATTTTATTTTTTAGCTTTATTTTGATGGTCCCTTTTGAACATTCTGTTGACTATAAGTAACTTTGCAACTACATGTCAACTAACATTAGAGTATCAGTAGACTCTGCTTTATATCGGTAACACTTTACAATACGGGTGCACTAATATGCATTAACTCATGTTTAACTAATGCATAGATAATCATGACTTAATGTATGATTCATGAAGAACTAAACCATTAATTAATGATTACTGCATCAGCAACTAATAAATAGTCTATATGATTAATAGATTAAGTAATACATGAATTGCTATTAATTCAATGTGTCATTGTGTATTAATTCCTTAATAACATATTTTATTAACTAATAGTGTAAATTAATGTGTTAATTTCCTCAATTAGTCAAAGCTATGCACTTCAACTTCCAGTTTTTTGCTTTAATTAATCATTAGCTAATGATTTGCAAAGGTATCATTATGTTATGACTTTACTTGTTGAGGCACATCATTATTAAATAGTCATTTAGTAATTGTAGTAATTTACACATGAATTTGCACTAACAATGAAGTAATTAATCATGTATTAATGCATATTAGTGTACCTGTATTATCTGGAAGTTGAAATACAAGGCTTTGGCTCATTCTGGTAATTAACATATTAATTAACACTATTAGTTAAAAAAAATAATTATTAGGTAATTAATTCCCAATTACATATTTAATTAATAACAATTCATGTATGAACTAATACATTAACCATACAGACTCTTAATTAGTTCCTAATGTGGTAATCATTAATGAATAACTTAGATAATCATTAGTTACACATGAATTCAGTATTATCTGTGCATTAGTTAAGCATGAATTAATGCTTATTAGTGCACCCGTATTGTAAAGTGTTACCTTAATATCTGCTAACTCTTTATTGTGATGCTCCTCCAACAGACACTACTGACTTTAAGTAACTTTACAACTACATGTGAACTTATTCTAACCTACCACTCTACTAATACTCTACTAATAGTCTAATGAGAGATAGTAGACATGTAGGTGCAATGTTACTTATAGACAACTGAATGTGGGGGACCATCAAAATAAAGTGAAACCAAATATGTTTGTTTTTTATATTTTAATTGGAGGTTCATCTAACATTTTCAGAACATTCCGAGAACATTCGAAATTAACGTTCCCATAATGCAAAATGATCAAAATAGAATGTTCCTTTAACCAAGATAAAACATTTTTGAAACGTTGAAAAAACGGGACGTTTTGAACATTCAGGGAACATTTAGAAATAATGTTTTCCTAATTTAATGGGAATGTTAGCAAAACGTTCTCAATAAGACATGAACTCGATGGTACTTGCGCTGTCTGACACACACCAGAAACACGCGCACAGAAAGCCGCTTCTCAGACAGCATACGATCCAGAAAATAATTTAATTTCACCACTTATTTCTAATTATTATTTTTTTAAATAAGAATTTAACAGTAAAATGTAAGTTATGTCATTATATCATTGGTTAATTTGACGTCAGAGATGTGTCTAATAGTTGTTTTCAATCGTTTTTTCTTCACTTCAGAAAAAGCTCCAGACCGCAGGAAGAGGAGAAGAGCTGGTGGT